CGATTAGAGCAACGTAGAGTAGCAACATTGATGTGCCGGGCGATTACTGTATATACTTATTCAACGCATTTCTCAGTTGCACTTGGCATATGTTGGCATTGGCCTACTTCGACGTTTTCAGTTTTGTTTTCTTCCTCCCCTCATGCCAGGCGAGCTACTGCCACATGCTGGCAACCAAGCCCGTGCATCAAAGGAGCAGGCCAGCGCCAGCGGGCGGAGCATCGCATCGAATCTGTTCGTCGTGGCGTCGTGATTGCCAAGGCTCTCTCAGACCGTCCCGCGTGCGCCATTGTTGTTTTCTAAAACAGGGCTGGACAGCGCAGGACAAGCATAGTGCTGGGCATTGAACAATAAACCTCCCTCCCAGCAGACGATTGAGGGAGTTTGAATAGAATCACCCCAACTATTTATTTTGTAGCACTGGGTGTTAGTAGTACTAGTCGTTTTCGTCGCCGCAGGAATCAAGCAAAGCCTCAGAATAGATTAAGAAAGGATCTTAAAGAAAAGCAATGTAGCAGTAGCTGAGCAATAGAAAAGCAACCTCTCACAAATATGTTCCCCTGGCTCTATCTTCGTGCATTACTCCCAGCCATTCATAGCAATTCATATTATATAATTGACTTCCCCTGGGCTTGTGTAGTACTCCTTGATGAATTCTTAGCAGCCCGGCAGCCATGATTTTGATGAGTTTACACAAGTTGTAAGGGTTTGGAAATAGAGTTTCAGGAACTAAGCAAGCCTCAGAAGAGGTTATGTAAGCAAAGATCTTAAAGGAAAGCAGTACCCAAGCAACAGAACACAGAACAGTAGAAATCACTATCCAGGGTAAACATGTGTTGTACTTTTCCGATCTCAATGAACTTTTCAGAGGTTGGGGATAACTTTGTGATAATGTTTTGTTCCCTCCCCCCTTTTCTGAATCTAACATTATTAGGATATCACTCGTCAATCAACAAAGTTGTTCCCATGATGCCGACACAACTTTCTCCAGGTACAATGGCATTATCCCGTGGAAGATGGAGTGCAGGACGTCTCTTCTGCCATTATTGGGGGGAAGTGGTGGGATGTGCTGGGTATCGGACTTGGGCGTAGGGTTGTTTGGCCTGGATGTCAAATGATGTACAGTAACCAGGTTTGGCTGAATACCCGACCAAGTCAAGCGGAATGTACAGCTCAAAGTGATAAGACACCATCACAGCTAGCTATCCTGCACCATGGCTTTCCTCATGCAATACATGAAGATTTTGGCTCCTCGGCTCCATTCCTGGATATTGTTCGGGACTTCATGCTGATGCCCGCAATGGAGAGATACGAGAGACAACAGGAGAAAAAAGATAAGTATATATAATCAGTCCAATGCATTCACTGCCATGCCAGGTTTCACACAAAAAGGCGCCCTACCCCCAAACTGTGATCACATGTGTAGGATGACGCAAGAAAGATTGGACAGCTCGGCAATACGTAGCACAACATGCGCACTGCTACAAATTCAGCCATCATGCTTGGCTCGCTTCCCTTCTTTTGTTTGTGTGACGGGGCGCACCTTTGGAACTCTATAGAAGCGCAAGTGTTTCAGTGGTCCCTTTTCCGCTGCGACTACTACTGTGTTTCCATGCAAGTCTCGGTTGTTGGCCTTGCCTGACACGTTTTCGCAACGCTATTTCTACCCTGGAGGACCCAGACATGGAAGTTGCTTGCACTTGGCATGCAGCCAGCACCTCAGTCACCACGCCTAAGGAACCTGTTCTATTGTAAGCTGATTCGAGCTCTTCGAGTGAGGGTGGGGTAGGCTGGGCCTCTCATATATTTGTTTGTTTTTTCCTCTTCAGAGGCATCATTGAGAGCTGCATCGCCACATCCAAGAGCTTCACGAGCTTCAGCGAACAAGGAGCTGAGTGCTTTAGGTTTTGCTGCTGTAAATATCATTGATTCTTCCAAGTCTTGCTACTTTCACTTACACAAGGCTTGCTTTGCACCAAAGAGATGTTTGTCCTGCTACTGTTGCAATGGTTGCGTTGGACATGTGCCCAGCATGTTCTCCGGCAAATGGCCAGGATCCTGAGAAAGAAGTCCAATCTTGGAATTCTGTGTCGGTCTTAGCCGGACACCTGTCACCCTGGGGTTATCTGGACGGAAAACAAGAAAGCTCCGATGAGCACCTACAGTGCCATCAATGCGACCAGGAGGTAAATACTATATGAGTCCTGTGGTAGTTCATACAGGCTCTTGAGTCTCCAATCGCTAGCCAGCAACTTGAGGCAACTACTTGTGCTCTCAGACTGGCTTTCGTTTGAGGCTCCACGAGCTGCCTCACCACATCCAAGAGCACGAGCTGTCACCCAGGTGGAGGTGCTGTTTGGGAACGTTCTTTTGAGGCACTATGGGGCACGATAGGCTAAAGACAGCATCAGGACTCAGGACCCATATAGGTATGCATAGCAGGCATAGCATTGCATAGCTGCATAGCTATAGTTGTTGTTCAAGAGACAAGTGACTTGTACCAGCAAAGCCTCATGGAGTTTTTCGGATGCTGCAATGCAATGACCCTGTACGGTCACACAGAGCCTCTCGCCTGCTGGGAGCCACTCGCCCTTTATCCGAGCCCCTAGTAGCGTCCTTGCTCCTAGTAGCGATGCCAGGAGCCGGCTCCGGTCATGCCATATTTGGTTTGGCCGACCAGGTTTTTATTTGGTGCGAGTGCTGGTAGGCAGAACTGGAAAGAGTAACCCCCACCGGTGTTCGCCTATAAAATGCCGATCCTTTTGTGCTATATTATGGCAATTTTGACCCTCATTTTTTGGGGCATCCATGCGGTGCACACACTGAATCTTGGTGCTTTTTTGAAGGTTTTGCAGGTACGAGGTCCATTTTGGCATTTTGTATAAACTTGAGTGATTTTGAGGCTGTTAGGGTCAAGGGGGCATTTTATAGCAGGATTTTCTTTTGACATTTTGATACTGGCACCTGGTCAGTGCATTTTATAGGCAACTGTTTTTTTTCCTCTTAGATGAGTACAGGACCCACCAAGGGCATTTTATAAACAACATGGTTTCGTTTGTTTCCACGGAAATTGTGGCTTGGTGTTCAACTTTTTTTGTGCTTGCACCCACACGTGGCATTATATAGACAGTGTGTGTGTGTGTGTTTGTATATTTTCCATGGTGAACCCATCATGGGCATTATATAGGCATGTTCTTTTTTTGGTCATTTTAGGGTTGAATGCTCAGAATCCACCATCCCGATTTTATAGTTTGGAGGTTAGGCATTTTATAGGGCCCAAAGTGTATAGAATGCCTCTAAAAGCATCCAACCCAACAATGAAGAGGGTTCACAGAGTTATATATATACAGTATACATACTGTAACTACTGTATATAGAATTGTTGAGTCAAGAGTGAATCTGCATCGACAGGAGCATCAGGAGCCAACGGCTTCTACACCTTCCCACTATGGCAGCTATAGCCTGGCCTTCAGACTTCGCGGCGGCTTTGGTCCTTGGTGTTTTGGTCCTTGGGATTGGCATAGAAACCACGCACACTCCGCTCTCAACTCTGTTGGAGACCAAGCTCCCGGCTCAGTTCCAAGCTCCGTGGTTTGAGGTCCAAGTGGTTGGTCGGGATGGAGCTATTCATGGCGATGGAACAGGCAGGGATGGCTCATACCGCGCCCATTGCGCAGGATTCCTCTTTTGAGGGCAAACCATTTGCAAAACCCGACCGGCTGCTGTATGTGTTGTACCATTCATGCTGTTGGGTGATGTCCCTTTAAGCGAGCAAATTGCCGGCCGCCTTGATGTTACCCATGCCTGCCATTCCTTCCTCTCTGTAAAACCACCTAGCCAAAGGACGCCTGACGAAATGAGCAACGACTTAAAGGGTTTGTGCACCAATCTTATTTATGTGAGGGGAACTATTTCATTGCGCTCATCCAAGAACCTGTAAAGCGATATAGTGAACCCCCAATGATTTAATATGATTTAATCATTCATGCCTCAACCGTTCCAGGAACAGCTGGGATCAATGGAATTCAAGGTCTTGGTGGGACCAGCAGGAGGCACTCATCCTCCAGCAGTGGGCGGCAAAGTTTGCTAGCATGGTTTTTGTTCATGTTTTTCAAGCAACATTATCAGCACTGTCACATGTGCTTATGTTAAATTAATTGTTTTGTTTCTTTCACTCCGACTTCCACATGCACATTCTTCCACTTTGTGAAGTACCATTGGTGGTCGCACTGGATGACTGTGAGTGTTTCTCGGGCTAAGGCTGACAAACACTCACAGTCAGAATGCGCCACACTGCACAGTCGCTGCTTCGGGCGCACAACATTCTAGTCACTAGTCACTAGTATATCTAGTTCCATCTAGTCATACCTTTAAGCGATTGCACTGTCACACCAATGACTCCTTGGTTGCTTAATTGCACGGTCGCAGCTTTGGCTTCAAGAACCCGGGTGACTGCATGACAGCCCATTCATGCCTTGATTGTCCAGTGCCTGTCATGGACCTGCCAAAGAGTGGCAGCAACCTCTTTGCAAGAAACACATTCTTTATAGCATTGACGCAGCAGTCCTAGGCAACCTTGGGCTGAAGGTTTTCTCATCCAATCTTGGTGTCGATTGCAGTGTTTAGGAGCTTAGACTGTTGCAGCCGACGCATGAACGCTACTCTACGCGTTCAGAATGCAGCTGCATTGCTCCCCGCCGTCGGCAAGTTCAAGGCCAGGCTTGTGGCCGTTCGATGTATTGTTCGTGTTTGGTGATGCTGATATGGGGGATGCGAGGTGCTTGCTGCCACAACCATGACCACGAGCAGCAGCAGCAACAACAACAACAGCAGCATGACAGCAACCAATCGAACCTCAAGGTACCTCACGCCCCACCTACAGGACATTCGAGGGTTCCAAGTTCTTGCATGTTGTTGATACAAGGCTCTCAGTTTCTTCCTTGTCCCTCCACTTTTTATTATTGGCGTATATAGTTTTGTTTTGCCTTGCAGGCCTCCCGATGGTTGGGCAGCTGGCAACGGATCCCTGCTGCTGTCCAGGCCCAGCATGATCAGAGCTTGATCATCATCAAGCAGTTTGGCAAACTATTGTGCAAGTTTAGCTTGCCTGCGGCTTCTGCGCAGCTTCCACATGGAATATACACACATAGACACATAGATGCCCTAAATTAAGCATGAATCGGCATGAAGTTCCCAAGTGACCTCAGACTGGGATAGCAAAAGGTCACTTCGAAGAGCCAGGTAGTGTTAATGTTAATGTTACATATGTGTGTCTAAACTTGTGGAGATCTATCTGTTATAACGATCTTGAAATCTCGGTGGAGCTTTGCAACGACTGTTCACGCGTAGGGGAAACGCTAGCATGCTGGTCGTGCAAATTGTGAGGCTCAAGGATAGACTGGGAGAAGGGGCAACGCTAGGGCCGCTAGGGAGCACAAGGCTCACGGTGCAATCTTGAAAGATTGGGTACCCTGATAGCCTTGTGCTGGGGAGAGCGTCAATCCGATGGCGGACGACGAAGAAGGTGCGAGCCTCTCAGGGTGGCAGACACCCGTTTCCCAAAAGAGGGCCTTGCAGCAGACAGCCTCCAATGGTCCAGCCATGTCACCCGCTAAGCATCACAAGCAAAGACGATTGGAGGAATCTCCATTGAAGCTTTCGATCAATGACTGCTCCAGAGCTTGCCGAGCTGTTTGGTCAGATTCTCGTTGCTTCAGCTGGTGGCTTGAGATTTTCGGGCTGCTGGGTGCTAGGGACATCGTAACAAAAGCAGCTCCTGTGTGCAAGCAATGGAGGGAAGTGGCAGAGGGGAAGGAGCTTTGGTCCTTTGTTGCTAGCCGTTTCCGGCTTGTGGATCAGCATGTGGTCATCGAGAAACTTGCTGCAAGACGCTCCAAGGGCCGTATGTTCCAATGTCGTCACCTTGGCTCAGGAGATTTGGTCCTTTTGCGAATGGTAGATTTGCAGGCGACCAATGCAGGAAATGATGATGGAATACCGACATCCTTCATCAGAGAGGCAGCTTTGCTTTCAGAACTTCGGCACCCAAATGTAATCAGGCACTTCGGAGCTGAGATCCTGGACAGGTGCGCAGTCACATGCACTGAATTTGTGCATGAGAGTTGGGCTGCTTGGTTTGAGAAGCTAAAAGCCAAAGCGCCTCCCCAGCGTATGGAAGACATCCGAGAGAATTTCATGCAGATGCTCACTGGGCTCCGCTTTTTGCATCACAAAGGGCTCATGCACCGCAACTTGAAGCCAGAGAATATGTTCATTGACCAGTCTGGAACGGTGAAGATTAGTGACTTCACCACGACACGAATGCTTGATATTCCCTTTCAGGCCTACACTCCAGAAAATCCCAAGGAGAGAGAGCGATCAAGTCGCGAAGTGCGGCGCTTGTGGTACCGGTGTCCCGAGCTGATTTTGAGAGAGGAGATCTATGGCCCAAAAGTAGACACATGGTCCGTCGGGTGCTTGTTTGTCGAAGCGTCGACGGGGCGCACGCTTTTTCAATCAGAGTCAGAGATGGATCATTTGTTCAGAATTTTTCGCCTTTTGGGCACACCAACTCTAGCAGATTGGCCAGAGGTTGCCAGAGCGAGGTGCTTCTCCCCAAAGTTCCCCTTGTATGAGGGCTTCAGCTTTCCACAAGTTACACGAGCCGAATGTTTGGACAGCTCCAATGACCTGGAGCGCCTCTTGCAGCAGGCGCAACCAGACAGAGAGGATGTGCTACAGCACCTAATCGAAATGGCCAGCGTGGTAGGTGTGGATGGCATGGTTTTGCTTGACCTCTCCGTGACCATTCCACCTTCGAGAAGAGGAACCTGTGAAGATATGTTGCAGTCGCCCTTTTTTAGCCCAAGAAGGCTGCAACCTCAAAAGGCCATTTGGCTGACTGGGCGTCATTTGCAGGGTCCACCACAGTGGGCAGGGTCAGTACTCCCAGAATGCCCTGACTTCCCACCTGTGGCTATGCCTTCCAGCTTGGCCAACTCACAGATGGTTTGGGACATGTTGAATGCCATGCTTGAACAGGAGAAACGCTCTGATGCTTTGGAGGATTGGCCTTTGCCGCCTTTGCCCCCTCAGTTTGATGCGCATGCCCGTGCACGTCAGGTTGATTTTATCATTTCTTTGGCAAGCAGCCTGGCCTTGAGGTCTGGCACAGCCCATTTGGCTTGCTCAATTTTCGACAAGTACCTGACTCTACAGCAGATGCCCATTGCGCCAGGTCACATCAAGGTAGTTGCAACCACTTGTCTAAAGATTTCGGACAGCTTTGCAGAGCAAAGCAACGAATACTACAAGCAAGAAAATGCTGCGACCTATGCAACGACAGCAGGGTCAATCACTCCTTTGCAGATACTTCGATGTGAGAAAGAAATGCTTCCCAAGCTGCGCTTCAAGCTTCACCAGCCTACTATCCTGTGGTTCCTGCAGTGCTTCATGGTCTATGCCAAGCTGTCCATAGGTGATGACGTAGGGAAAGCCGCGTCCTTCATTGCAGATTTGATGTTGCTTGACTTTGAGATGCACGTTTACCCACCATCATTGAAAGCACATTGTGCTATCTTGATGGCAGCGTTTTGGGTGCAAGACGGCAAGTCGTATCACTCAGAGCAGTCCGTTTCAGTTTCAGCATTCTCGGGAAAGCTATCCTTGCTGGAGCACTGGGACAATCAGATCCGCAACAAAATTTGTAGGGCCAGTTGGGAGACTGCGGAAGGATGTTTGCACACTGCGGTGCGCATGCTCTTAGACAAACGGCCAGAATGGGCGGGGCGTTTGCGGTTGAAAGCTGTTGAGACCAAACATGCGCAGATCCTGAATAGGATCCCGATCCCCGGGGCCTTTTCGTCCCGATCAAGTTTCCTCAAGCTGGTTCGGTACATCGTGCCAGACAGCTCGAGACATTTGGTCCCAGAAGGCCAGACACAGAGCCAGCACAACTAATTCGGGGTTAGAACAAATAGGTTGCGACAACGACCTGCCACGTTCTCATATTGGGGGAAAATGTGCGAATGCTGATGATTGTGCGGATTCTTTTTCTTGTAGGAGTTGACGCATATATAATGTCATGAAGTAAGTAGTGAAGAAATGACAGTATCAAGACATCAAGAGGCTGAGGGCTGAGGGTTCAATCTCTTCGGCCTTTAGACCGACATTGGTCTCCACACATCCAGACATCAGTCCATGAAGGTGACCGATGTCTCGCCACGAGATGGGCTCCAAAACGAAGCTGCGGGGGGCCTTGGCGGCCTTGGGTTAGAGATCCTTTCATAGGCTGTGGCTGGATTGCGCCGCGGAATGCACCGGTATTTCAATGTGTTTCATGATATTTCATGTGCAGGGCAAACTTGGCAGATGACTTTGAAGGACCCATGATGCCCATTCTTCTTGCATGTACTTGCAATTCACGTCCCTGTGGAGTCATACAAAGTTTGTTTTGTAGGGCACTTTGGTTGATTGCCCGTGTTTGGTTTTGCAGCCGTTTGCTGTTGAGTGACACCCAGCTTCAAACAGATTCGATCCATACCAATGTTTAGCAACCCTGTTTGCATTTCATGTTTTAAAGATGTTTTAGACCTGAGTTGTGTGTGTGTTTGTGCAACCAAGAGGGTCAGCAGAGAGTGTTGGCTGACGGATTCTGTCTACACAGAGCCCGTGGTGCCATGGTCCAATCTTTGCAGCTGCCCCGCTACAGCGTGCTTGTTTTGCGACGCATTCTGCGAAGGATTCAACCTTTGAGGTCAGCAGCAGTGACTTGGATCCAATTCTGCATAGAATTTTGATGAATTTGGTCTGAGACGGCCACTGAGTCACTGAGATGTGGGAGCGGCTACAGCCTTTCGAAAGTACTGTAATTTGATGGTTTTTGATCGTCCAGTATGATGATATGTCCTCTTCCTCAAATTTTATGAATGACCTGTCCTGTTGCATCCTGTTCGTTCCATCCTTGCTGTGCTTCAGCTGCCCGGCAGGCCGTTTTGGAGCCCGCATCTCCTGATGATGGAACTGCCTTGGGACTTCAATGCATGCTTCGTGGCTCCTGCCACATCCAAGCTTTCGGACGTGTCGAAGATTTATCTTACATCACCGGCAGACACGGCTCAGCGTTCCTTGGATGTACACTTGTGTGATCTTGTTTGTAAACTATGATGTGTCATTTGGAGAAGACATCAGAAGAGGTCGCAGACGAGAGATTCCCCGATCTTCAAGTGCATGTTGCTTCTTAGCCTGGGCCGGGAGAGGATGTGAGCATCGTGGTGTCAAAGCCCTTTTCACTGTATGCTCAACGGCTGAGCGGGTTTCTCAAACAACTGTGCCGGTTGAACTTGAACACTCTGATGACTCTGGTGGTAAGATGTTTCGCGACAGAATCCTGGTTGCAAGTAAAGATAACAAATCCTTTGGAATCTTGAATCGAGGGCTTGTTTTGCCTGTGGGTGTCCATGTGCAATGCAACATGACACATTCTGGTTATGCGTTGCGATATGTTCAATGCATAAATATGTGCAAGTTTTGGCACTCGACTACTACCTGACATGATGCTTTGTGATGTTTCGTGTGTGTGACTCATCATTCAGCTGCTTTTGGCACACCCTGCCTGCTGCCACAACAACCTCCTGGCGCGCAATTTACGGTCATAGACACCTTGCACACACACACACACAAGGCTTGCGAGAACGCCTCTCGAGCCACACAGAGTTCCTGCAATCGAAAGAGCCCTTCACGAAGCGCCCCCGCAAAACTCTTCGGGGAACCCTTTGTCCGAAAGGTCCGAAGATATCTCCGTCCGATGCTTCCAGTATTGAAAAGGACATGTGCGGTGCAGGTGCAGTATGGCATTAGTTTGTGTTGGGGCACATGATTCACACAAATCAATCACACATACGCTACATACACCGATGTGTTCTCAGTGTGTGTGTGTGTGTGTGCGCATAGGGGGCCTTGCTGCATCTTGAAGGCCTTGCAACCCAAATTGCAAGTGGGTTCGCCCGTGAACCAAGGCTGTTGGGCGAACCGGAGCCCTCAGAAGACGGCAAACCCAGGCGACTTCCACAGTGTGACATCTCTTTGGCCAAGCTGTTGGAAGGCTTGACCAAGCAACTGCTGCAACTTCTGATGTCTCATGTGCAACGACGAGGGTGGAAGCTATCTGGCCAATGGTCTCATGAGATGCTCTTGAATTTTTATACCAGGCCCACTCGAGGAACGCATGCAGGGCCAAACCTTTATTTGCACAAGGATCTTTCTGCCCTTACGTTGTTGCTGGTCCCCTCCCACGGCGGTGGGAAACTTCTTATTGAACGTGCCACGTCAAGAACCCAAAGAGCCGACTGTCGAGCCCATGTTCATGCCTTAAAGGACCGCGGAGTCTTATTGGTGGGCACACGCTTTTCAGAGGCCTTCCCGAAACTTGCGCGCAAGGCAACACCCCACCGGGTGGAATATTCGACTGGCGGCAAGGTTACAAGACCGCGCTTGAGCATTGCTTTCTTCTTTTGTAGAGAGCAGCTTAGTGCCAGAGAAGAAAAGCTGAGGTTGTGAGAACTCATACTTGACTTCTGCAGTTTGCGCTGCATGTGACAATAGGCATTCCAGTGACAAATTCTGACACTGACTGACAAGAGACGCTTCTACAATCAAGGTCAAGCACCTGATGGACTGTTGAGTCTTCACGCGCGGTGCTAAATTTTAATATAGACTTATATACAACTTACAAATTATTTATAGTCAGACCCGCTCAGGTCAAGGTCAGCACGCCGGTCAAGCTGGAACTGATTAGGCGGCTTGCCGCGGCAGGTGTGAGAGTCTTGGCAGTACTGTAGAAAGATGATTAATATATATTAATATTGAAGACATCATGTATATATAGGTGTGTGTTGGGTTTTGGACTTTAAATGACTCTATATAGTAAGTTACTTCAAGCAGGCGTTGTTCTATACGCACTATGAAAGGCCGAGATTGTATTTGGCTGTGAGATGCTGTGAGTATGGTGTTCGCTTCTTAATTGTGGATACCGCTTTTTGTCCGTTTCTTGGCACTTTGGGTTGACCATGTTTGTGCGGCCATTGCAGGTCCCTTCCACGACTTTGTTTCAATTTGTGATTGGATCAGAGCCTTTGGTTCAAGACCAAGTGAACTAAGCCTTCAAAGGGTCGCACTCGTGACACAAGTGACTGCCATGCTGGACCTCATCACCATCTTCTCGGCGGCTGGCTTGCAGCAGGAGCTGAAGGCCGCAAATGGCGACAAGAGCTTGATGATTTCTGAGGCCAGGTCGCAGCCAAACCACTCCAACTCCAACATGAACAAACATATGCGTGTCATGATGTCCAACACGTCACCTGACCGTTTTTTGTGTCAAGCTTTTAAACCGTCGACAATCGAGAAAAATGGCTCAGGGTGCGGAGGAGCCTAGCTTCCTGGAAGCTGCCGCGCAACAGGTCTCAGTGGCCTTGGATGTGGTGGATGGGGCTGTGGCTGACGGCTGGGAGGCGATCTTCGGAACCTTGGCCACATACATCAACCAAGGAGTTGGCTGCCTATCATGCCTATCCATGGAGGCTGAGGTTTGCCAAGCTTGCAGACAGAAATGATGAGTATAGTATAGTTTCTACAATACTATATACACAATTATACACATATAATATATATATATATATTTAACGGGAGTTGATCTATTGGGGCGTGAAAGGGTTTTATATGTATATATTGTATGTGTATATATATATATATGCCAATGACCTCTTATGTAGATGTTGTTCAAACATGTTCAAATCATCCGCAAAAGATTCGCGATGAGCTTCGCAAAAGTTTTCTCGCCAAATAAATAAATAAATAAATATATATACATACACATCGCAGGTCTATTCATGTTATTTCCTTTCTACCGGCATTAGGCAGAAATACAAGACAATCCTCCGACAGAGCCGCTGGGTGGAAGATGGCGGAAGTGCCCCTACAAGTCCCACTGTCACAGACGACTAACAACCTGACAACTCAACTTGTCCTTGCTTGCACAGCCCTGACTGCCTACGGGATTGCCTTCCTCCAATTTTAGCTCACAAACTGCAACTGGGTCATCCTTGCGCAGCTGTGACATTGAGGCAACGACACCCACAGGTTGCACAGATGTTTGCGCATGATATGATATGTTTTCTTTGGGGGGGAATCGCCAGTGTGATGTTTTGTTGCGCGATTGAATGTGTTTTTAAAGTCCAGGTTCCAAACCTGAGCCGCCCAACATTCCCCGAGCTGCATTGCCCTGTCTTGGTAGCTGGTAAGAGGGTTGAATTGAAGTGTGCCTGACATTTCTACGCCTACCCCAAGCAATTCCTCAAGTTTGTCGCACAGATGCTGTTCTCAACCTTGTCCGTGGGTCATGCTGCAAGATGTCAGTCACTAATTGTTGATACAAATATAGTTATCACATGTTAACTAGACATGGTTTTAGGACCGTGCTTAGCGATGGGGCCGCAACAGATTTCTTTTCCGCGAAGAATGGCCCTTCCGTATCAACACCGTCAATAATGTACTTTTTGGTTTCGTTTCGACCTAAAGATGTATGTAGAGAGCGGTTGCCCGGTTTCCCACAACATGTGGGCTGCTTGCTGCTTCCTCTATGGCCCTATGACATGCTGGAACTTGACTTATTGAAGCACTTTGGTGTCACTCTGCTTCCCGAGCATGCAAGGAGCGGAGGAACAACCCGAGCCAAAGAAGGCCTGATTTGAGGGACAAACCTACCACAGCCAAGGATTTTTGAATTTTTGGCTGAGGTCACGGCCTTCACATTTTCATTTGACGTCATGAATACTGACGAATGTCGTACGTTCTCAGTTGGAACACTTCAGAACCAGTTAATGATCAACACTGCATTGACATCACAATGTACGATCACATCGTGCACGTCAAGGATTGCGAGTTGTGCAAGGAAGATCGGAGTTCTGTGGAAACGAAATGTTCCGACAATCTTCCGACGAGCGCTGTGCATCACTGACCTGAGGGAAAAAGGGATCCAACCAAATCCTTTGCAGCATTGATCTTTGGAAAAGACGTGGCATATGCTTGATATTTGGACATATCATTATATATTATATTACATTGTACATAACTGTTACTGCAGAAAGAACAGCAATTCAGTCATTCAGATAGTCGTGGTGGGCCCTGTAGTTGTACCCTTCAGGTCAGAGGCCTCTTATTGAGCCAATTTGAGCTACAGTGTATATGGCATATTTTGCACATCGCATTGTGACAATGTGCATTTGTTGCAGTGGAGGTTGGATTGTTTGGCTATGTTCAGTCAACAGGAGTAGTCAATAATTGCTGTAAACCATGCAGCAGGGGGTGCAAACTTTGCTCGAGTTCGATGTTTTTTGTAGTTGTTGATTTTACTGAACTGTTCTAGTGCCAGGATTGATGTTGGGGGTGAGTGTAATGCTTTGCTGCCCTGTGCTGCGCCGGCGTAAACAATTGTGGCTTTACCAGGGTGGCGTTATTTGTGCCGCATCATGCCAGCAGAATGCAGCCTTCTGCAGGGCTTGCAGAAATGACGATCCAGGGTTCAAAGTGGCATGCGTTTTACAGAGAACCTCACAAGAGACGTCACATAAGACCACTTGTTTTGTTTGGCCTAGATGCCTTCAACGATGTCACTGTCGTGCCTTGCCGCCTCTTCACAACATGGATAGGCGCCTGAATGGCGGCCCATGACAAGAAGTGGCACATCACACAGGACAGAGCAGAGAGGGAGAAGAGGCCGGCATATTTCCGCACAAGTGCAAACTCTTAAAGGGCACTGTCTCTCAAATAGTCTATAACATTCTATCACCCTGGAACCCCGGGCAGCCAAGAGCAGCACTGTATCATTGTTGATCCGTCTCTTCCAGGCGACGCTGGAAACGGGCGCGAGATCGCCATGAGAAAAGCGAGAAGATGCCGAGCAAGAACTTCAAGCGCAACGTGTTTTCTTTTTTGCAATTTGATGCGTTTGCTTAATGCCACCTCATTTTTTGAAATGGCTAAACTGATTGGCTCTTTGTCACTTTGTCAGTGTGTTTGTCTCCTTTGAGTGTTTGTTTTTTTCTTCCGTTCCCGTTTAAGGAAGGAGCGGCGGGAACGTCCAAAGTCACCCAGGGGCGAGGAGGGTTGGTCTTGGAGTCGCTGGCTTTGGGGAAGCAGCTTTAGCAGCACGATTCTGACAACGGACAACCGGCCTTCTTCTGGGGCTTTTCAGGATCTCCAGTCTTAAAGTTTAAGAAGATGATACGGTTCCAACTTGTGCTTGCTTTTTCTTACTTGAACATTGTTCGTCCTTTTACAGTTGCTTTTTTGGCCGAAGTAACTGAAGTGCCGAGGCAAGAAGCCTCAGATTTCCCGATTGCCATAGGTTGCCATGTGTTTTTTGCACGGACCTACATCATGTGTGGAGTTGTCATGGTGGCGAATGAGGTCGCTGCTGTGAGGTGGCCCCTGGCAATGGCAAGGAACGCATCGACGACGAAGAAAGGAAACGCAAAGAGGAGCTTCGGGGGAACTGAGGGGGGTAAGTAGGAGTAAGGAAGCTACTAAGTTGGAGGCCACCGCTACTACTTGTAGTAGCAAGGAAGCTACTAGACAGGGATGCAGAAGAGCTCAGGCTTCTTCAAGGAACCGCTCATGGGGGAGCTTCCTCGCATGATTGATTTGGTTCGTAGATTCTTACTGAACTTATCATTGAAGTCGGAGAAAGGCCAGATCCACACAGGTCTCTGAAGATTAGTCACCTTAGAAGATGATGTTGCCTTTAGTGACCGAACTTTAGTCTTTTGGTTAAGTTAATATGAGTATCTCAACATGTCCCAAGCATCATCAGCTTGAGCGGTGAGCGAGCTGCGCAGGGGTAATGATAGTTTTCGTATTCTGTTTTGGGTGAACGCGGGCTCTGAGCTGCTGACAGAGAGGAAAGAAAAGCCAAAAGGAAGGAGGAGAAGCAGAAGCAACGCGAGAGATGCTAGAAATGATTAGCCACATTCGAGGTTGGATTGTGTGCCTCTCTGTGGTATGTCAATCTACTTTTAGTTTTTGTTGTTCAAATTGTGACATGTCAGTTTTGTTGTTGCCCGTCTTTGTGTCCTGTCTTTGCACTCTTCCTCGCAAGCTGTCCCGAAGCACGGAAGTCCCAGAACAACATCAGTAACATCAGCAAAGCCCTAAGATGTGCTGAGGAGATGAATGGCGCAGACAGCATCAGGGTAGATCCGGAAGAGAAGACATGGGTCAAGCGAGAAATTCACTAGTGGAAAAAGGCCATACGGCTGACCGCCTGAGATTAAGGACTGTCAGGGCTGGGATGATTGAGTCACATTTGCGCAGTACTGACACAAAGAGAAACAACATGTTTCTTCACATACCTGGGCTTGTTTGGGCAGAAACTGAAGACTTGTCGACTTTCCGGGACACGATGCACAGGGCAAGTTAGGGGCGTGGACTTTCAGGAGCAGCAGCCGGCTTTTGGATGATGGGGATAGCGATGCTTCTGGATGCACTGCGCGCAGTGGCTACACAGGGATCTCAAGGGCTTCTTCTTTTGCAGCTTGAAACTGTTTACCAGTAGCAAGAAGCTACTAGGAACAAAGGGCATCGCTACTAGGAACAAGAAGCTACCAGTTACTGGTAGGAGCAAGGACGCTACTGTATAGCTATATTCGCTTGGCGTCGCTTTGCGTCGCTTTGCGTTGCTTTGCGTCGCTTTGCGACAAAGACCGCTTGCACCTCACTCATTGTGTCATGTGGAACTGCTGAAGACCAAGGGCATTGCACCATCC